TAGGCATGTGTTGAAGACAAACTTAGAAAGAATCTCAAGAAAAAAAAAAWGGAATTCTGGATCTTTTAAAAGSWWACACRGATCATATTCTKATTAAAAATAACCTGCTCTCYCTACAAGAACAAATAAGTAAGAGGCAGAAATGAATGGAAAAACAAAATCTCACAAAATAAGCTGTCAAATTTTTAACACCTCTGTGAAAGAGGGTTGACAATAAAGTTTAACATCTCACAGGATGTCTCACRGGAAAACGTTATTCAAATAAGATGYAATAAAGAAAAGACAAAAAGATGGAAAGATATAAACACCAAAGGTGTTTGCAGACAATGAAATTGGCTGAAGCATAATATGACAGGCTGGTGGYTCTCAGCACYAGATTCTTCAAATGMAGCTCACAAACAGAAGAGAGGGAWSAGAAACTTGTTCAGAGTAAGGGAATTTGAAAGYATTGTGGATTTTTCTAATGTCCCTATCAATAAAGTACTGAATGTTCAGAAGAAAAGGAAGGCAAAAAAGGAAAAGTACTGAAAAGATTGGAYAATATTTGGTGCAGGTAAATTAAAAGCACAGTGTTAATTTTCTCGCAGTGTGCASAAGGATCTGCTAGTATTATGAGTGAATTAATAATAATTTGGCTGTTAAAGCCTGTACATCCTTCAGAAAACAACAGGGAGCCAGCACATTTCTCTATCCCCCTCTCCCTGAGAGCTGGGSAGCTCCTGCCAAAGGCTGTGCTGTAAATGCTGCTGAAGGTAATGAAGCCACGTGTGTGGGAACRGCGTCGCAGCGCTCACGGTCCCCGTCTGCCTCGTGCTCAGCAGCTCCCCAAAATTCCTAACCCTGCCATGGCAGCAYGGGCTCATCTCTTCAAGTGTTTACTGTCACTACCACCTTGGCATACTGACAACATTATAGCCTCAGAAATAAGCGAAAAAACCAGATTATTTTTGTGGGATACAATCATTCTTTTCAATCTAATCTCAAGGGGTTGCTATAAGCAACAGTTGCAGAGGACTTCTAYAAAAATGAAGCTTTAAAACGCTTCTTATTGTATGATAACAATACTGGAATGTCACCATCTTCCCGTATGCTGCATTTAGTTAAAAGCAGAGGACTGAAGTCTTTCATGGAGAAGCTTTAAAACGTGACATACAACCTGATTCAGTGTTCAGAAATGTCTGTGGATGGGATAAGAGGATTACATTCACCAACTTCTGGCTCCTGACAAAATCATAACAGCTGAAAAAAAAGGCCTAGGACTCTGCATGGATAGTTCAAGAAAAAACATGGTGCAACACGTACAGGCAGTAAAATAAAGCAAGTGAGTATTAGGTTGCAAAAGACAAATGAAAGAAAATCAAAAATCTGTTAATAAAAAACTGATGATTCACTGCCATCTGGAATATTTTATACTACTCTGGTCATTGAAGGTAAAAAAAAAATTACAAAACAAGTAATTCAGGGAAATATGAGCAGATTAATTAAGAAGACATGGAAAGTTTTGGCATCCGAAAGGACTGAATGGAGTTGGAATACTAGTTCAGAGAAGAGACAAATGAAGATGGCATGCAAAATAGAAGCTGACAGGGCAAATTATGTATATAACTGCATTTTCCATCCCTCTACAAAGGAACATTAATGAAACTTTAAAAAACTGTAGTTTTAACTGGAAGACTTTGAGCACAACTCCCTCCCTCTCTCAAAACTTACTATCTAACATGAAGATTAAAACATAGTAGAGTTTAAAGCAGATTGGATACTTAAAAGAAAACCCTTTTTCCCCCTGGAAGCTATGCAAATTTTCAAGTTYCAGAGCAACCCAAACACATCTTGGGAGCAAAGAAAATACTTGTGCAACTGGTATTTTATTTCTGAAGTTGTACATTTTATTTCCAAAATATTCTTTAAGGACAACTGATGTAGGCTACTGGCCAAGGTGGAGTGCAGGTTTGATTCAGTCTCAGATTTCCGTCACTTCATTATTGATAAAACATTTTTCACTCCATAAACCACTCATTTTCCAACCTCTTTTCTTTCTCTCTCATTCTCTTTGATGCTAAGAAGCTAAACTCACCTCCCACCCATGAGAATCATAAGACAACTATCACTAAGTGTTTTCTTCACAGTAAAGCAATGAGTATAGCATAAATTTTTCTCCACATAACCATCAAAATATATTTGTCAAAATTTTAACTCCTCTTCAACCTATTGACAAGGAAGCAGAAAACACGCTGTGATTCTCATCAAACACCTACAAGATGTTCTACTCTAATTCTTTCACTCAGTTTATCCCTCAATTCCAGAGCATTTCGTGTGTCTTATCTTCTTTCTTTCCTTCCTTACTCTTTCTTTCTTTCTTTCTGTCTTTTCCCCGTACATTTCTCTCCTTATCTTCCATTCAACAAGAAAGTTTTGTTCTTTCTCTAAGTGCAGCCTACCACTGGCTCAAATCAGATCTTACAATATATTCTTCCTTCTGAGTTACTCAAAATCTATCACTGAACTCAGTTCTGTCATCACACCAACATTCACTAGTGTGCATCTGTTTAACAGAAAATGATTACTAAAATTTGACTTTTTAATGTTCTATCTCTTACAATTCCTGAGCAAAATATTGTGATCTGCCATTTTTTTTTTTAGCAAGAACCTATGAGCTGGATACAATACAGAGAGATAACAGATAGTTTAYACTGTATCAGTATGAATCACACACACTGTACATATTTATATGAGCACACACATATGTCTACCTTTTATTGGATTATGGACCTCAGAAGATGAAACGCCTCACTCTGGAAATTGAATGATGCCTAACCTAGCAGGAAATATTGAGCATCAKTTTGATATTTGCTAAATGCTTAGTGAAATTCTGAAGGTGTTGTTACATGGTTACTTTTACCCTTGAGGACAATGAACAGCTGAAGAGCATAGCTTTCCATGCTTAAGACTCTTTTCTTAAATGCCTAAGAAAATTATAGTGAAAAAAAGTCAGTCTTCAGTGTCTGTAACCAGTCTGTAACCAGTGGTTAGCTTGAGTGGTTAGCAGAAGAAATACAGTGAGGAATATTTGACACAAACTCTCTTTCTTGAAGTATTTTTCCTCCTCTATGTGCATAGATGGACATATGCAAATAAAAACATTGGTATACAGCTCATTAAATAATGAAAACAGTCGTGTGCAGCCTTCCTGGGCACTGTGCATGTATTTTATGAAAGAGTCACTTTATTTGCAATCAGAGGGATTTTTCTGAAAGTGCTGAAAGGTAGAAGTGTTTGTATTATACAGYTGAATGACTGTATCAGATCATGTAGGGTCAGCCAGGTCAACATGAACAACAGTAATAATGAACTGAAAGACATGATTATTATTCACATCCTAAGAAGAAACCACGGTAGCTCCAAACCCGTAAAGTTCGAAAACACAGGTCAGATATCAACAAGCCAATTAAAATCTCATTGTGGAGCCCTATGTTTAAACTTTCATGATCATTTTACATCATCAAAATACTCACAGACTTTTTAGTCTAAAAGTTCTCTCCAACTCATTTACTTGTAACCAGACTCCACTTACCAGGCTGTTGTCACAGCTACTTCCTCACTATTTCCCTGAAGGGAACTCCCAGATTCTCTGCCCCTGCCGATCCCAGAAGAGAAGGGTGTTCATGTCATTGTGCCCTCACCCATCTTGTCAGTAAGCTCATCTTTTGTTTGTGCTGCTCACCTGCACAGCTGACAATGCAGCAGTCACTCTCCTCCTGTGCCCACACAGCCTCTCAGCCACATTGCTTTTGGACCTTACAGGCCCTACAAACCCTTGCTGTGACTCTGCAGTCAGGACACRGCAGCATTTTTTGTACTATGAAATGTCCCAGGACACTATCAGTGTTTATTCTCTTCTGTACACAGGTACATGGTATGAACACAATGATCACACCTCACTSTTCTCAGATTACCCTGTGAGGATACTGCTTTGAGCAGAGCTCTAATTACTGCTGGCATTGATTGCTGATCTTGCACACAAAGATATGTCTCTCTAGAAGGAAGYCTGATGAATAAAGGGACTGAAGGTGAGTGTCCAGTTTAACMYCAAATGGCAACTCAGCCTCACACAGCTGCTCACTCATTCTCCCCACAATGGGATGGGGGAGAGAATCAGAAGGGTAAAACTGACAAAAGTCACAGGCTAAGACAAAGACAGTTTAACAGGTAAAGCAAAAGCTGCATGYAAAAAAGCAAAGCAAAGCACAGAATTCTTTTACCACTTCCCATGGGCAGGCAGGTGCTCAGCCATCTCCAGGAGAGCAGAGTTCTTTCCCATATAACAGTGATTTGGGAAGACAAACGGTGTYACTCTGAACCTCTCACCCTTTTTGCTTCTTACCCTGGCTGTATATGCCGAGGATGATGCCACAGGGTATGGAATATCCCTTGGGTCAGTTGGGGTCAGCTGTGCTGCCTGTRTTCCCTCCCAACCCACTGTGCATCCCCAGCCTTCTCTGCTGGAGTTGGGTGAGGAGCAGAAAAGGCCTTGGTTYTGTGCAAGCATCGCTCAGCAGCAGTGAAAACATCTCTGAATTACCAACACTATTTTCATATCCAAAACATGGCCTCATATCAGATACTATGAGGAAAATTACATCTATCCCAGCAAAAACCGGCACAGAAAGCAACCCTGAAGGAAACAGGCTTACAGTCTGCAGTGAAAAGCCATTCAGTTGCAGAAGAGCACGAATTCCCAAACTCTTTTWAAACCAATTCAGAATGCAGTTTACTCATGAATATGAGTAGCACATACAAAACTARCTCATAAGATAGCATGAATGTCTTAAATGTTTTCAGATGCATTATTACAGCTGCACATTTTTTTATATCTGAAGTCGAAGGTATATACCAAAATTCCTACCCTATATTCTGCATGGATTTATACAAATAACAAAAGTAATACATAGGGGAAAAGTGTTTTCTGTAAGTTAATGGGGAAAAAAAGTCAGATTACGCACATTTCAGTGATGGTTTCTGGAAGGTTCGTTGGGATCTCAGTAAGGCCTTTCCCACGACAGTCCACAATGTTGTTACTACAGGTGCATGCAGCAGGGCAGTGCAAGACACTGCAGGATGGAGCCATAAAGGACTGGTGACCTGCAAAGGAAAGCATAACATCTTACACCTCCTTGAAAAATTTAGGACAGAATTTCTAAAAGAAATATTTCAGCTTATCAATACTTTCAAGTTGCATTAATTTAAGCACACAGTTAATTGTAACATGTTGATAAAACATGGAGAGGTGAAGACAAATGCTCAACTATTGGGCCAGCACTAGAAAATTTTTCAACTTCTTTAGCAACAGCCATTGAAAATCATCTCGTTTAAGAAGAAGGTATATTTTATTTATTGCATGTTATTAAAAACGAATTACTGATTTATTTAATTTTCAGAATGTTGTAGAGTATTAAAAAGTGCATGTCAAGAGAAATGAACCTTGCTATGAGCACTGAAGGTGACCTGCCTGTTTTGTTCTGTTCTTATTTGAATATGGTCTTCCAGTTCTTATTTGAATATGGTCTTATTTGCCAGTTCTTATTTGAATATGGTCTTCCAGTTATGTATCGCTTATTGACAATTTTGGAGTTTTCATTCATTTCGTCATGCTTTCATTCCATCACACAAAATTACATAAAACTTTTGACTCCACATCTCTTAYTCTCACTCTGTTTTAGGTCAGGAGGCTTCTTAATCCCACAATCTACCATTCTCACTAACTCAGGTGGCTAATTTATATGAGTTCCCCCAATTCTTAGTGCTGTATGTTAAACTCAATATTTTTAATTGCATTTAATCATAATGATTTCCTAATTAGRTATGTTTTAGAAAGTAAAAACCGTATTATATTTTCCTGAAAGTAGATAGACTGCACATTTAGTAATATATTAATGCAGTCGTTCTGCTATCAGTTTAATGATACAGAATAGTTGTTTTGTAATGATRCAGAAATACAAGAAGGGATGAGAAAGGCACATTGTCATTAAGTCAGAATAAGCTAGAGACTGTTTTGAAATTCTCAAGGAAAAAAAGAAACAACTCCTTGACTATGAAACCACAATTTAATTTATGATCTCTCTCACAATATTTAATATCATATATTAATATAGGTTGGGTACACTGATAATGGAAGTTGTAGCCAGTGCTGTTCCCACTTAAAACTTCATGTAACAACTGTTCGAGTTTTAAATTGCTGAAAAGTTTAGTCTTTTGAGGCCAGGCTGGATGGGGCTTTGAGAAATCTAGCCTGGKGGAAGGTGTCCCYGCCCATGGGAGGGGAATTGGAACTAGGTGATCCTTAAGATCCCTTCCAAGCCAAACCATTCTATGATTCCTTGAGACAGAATTTTACAATATAATAATCTGATTTCGATTTATATTTGTGTAATACATACAAAATATATATACAAAAATACAAACAGCTGCCAAATCTAATAGCGCACTCATTTTATTCTATCAGGATAGGAAATGTTTCAACTACCTTTATTGAACAAGAATAGTGATCCAGGGAGAAAACATGGTTATTCCCTTCCTAACTGTTCTTGACACCSAGGCTCTGCAGCTGCAACATTTACGTGTAAGGTATATAAAATAATCTTGTTAGGAGCCCTTTTAAGTTTACATAAAGGCAGAATTAGTGGCAAGGATCCTGTTAGCAGTTGCTGTGTGAAGATGGCAGTTCCTTACASTTTGATGCCAGAGGTTACTTAATAAGAAAAGAATATTGTGCTCTCCATAAAACTCTTTCAAAAACATAGATCTGTGAAGAATTTGGCATATTTGGCAACAGGCTTCTGGGGGTTTGCAGAAAATCAACCAGTAGGAGAAATGCTGCTGAACCACTGAAAGACAGCAATATTGCAGCTGGTTTTTCATGTTCTTGATAAAACTAGAAACAGTACACAAAATTTACAGAAAATTTTCAATATGAGTCTAAAAATATTTAAATAAGAAAGATAAACTTGCCTTCTTCCTCATCTAGAAGATACAAATGAAAGAAAAAAATTGAATAGAGAAAATGTGATTAGTAATGAACTGTTRGTCATTTCATTATTTCATATTAAAAAAAACCAAACCCTAACCTGATGGATTACAGCATAACAGTAAAATTCAGAAAGTTACTTAGGGATTCAGAATAGTATTTAAATGTCAGAAAATAACAAGAAGAAAGAGTATCTACCCGTAATRTTTAAAAAAATAACTCCTTATTAGTAATGGCTTTATATGCTCAATCAGTACTCAATCAGTACTTTTATTTAATTTCTTGTATCTCTCCCCCACAATTAAACTGTTAGAAGGCTGTAAAATCAGTGYGAATGCAAATATTTACACAAAAATTTCAAGAACATAAGCACCCCCACACGAGATACAAATACCAATAAAAATGATTCGGTTTTTCTTACTAAACATTAACGCTTGGTTTATGCAAAAGCCAACAGCAGCCACCATGCAGCACTTGCAGCCACTCCAGAGTGGCCAACAGGTGTGGTACAAAGCAGGGCTCCA